CCGAGGCAGCTATCAGAAAATCGATCAGCCCGAGGCTGGCAAACAGGTTATGACACACCACTTCGGGTTCTGTTAGATTAACTGCAGTCGGCGCTTTGACAGTAGTGAGCCCACCAAACCAATCGAGAAGTCAGCATGTGAGCAAATCGGGTGCAGTGAGCCCGTCTTATGCCTGAACGTAGCAACTCGGATCTCCAAACTTTGCCAATCATGCAAGTATGCGTTTTCTGAATCAGTATCTGCATCCTGGGATTGCACGAAGTCCCAGAGAGTAAGGGCTATTGTGCCGGCCCTTCCAAGAGTACGCGTGTAAATGCTAAAGGACTTTCATTCCCCAAAAACTGAGGCACTTTTCTAACTAACATTTTTTATACCCGAAAAGAGTGGAACCCGTGATGCCAAGAACAGTGGGTGGGGAGGATATAGTAAAAACGACAAAGAACGGTAGAGAAAGAGAACTGTCTGACTTTCAATCAGGATTTGACTGTTTATTACGCCGTAAGTACTGACAGCAACAAGCGTACTGTGAATTTTGTACTGATCTAGTATTTAAAGCAAGGCGCAAAGAGAGGCCAGCATTTAATGTCTAATCTAAAAAAATTAGTAAACGGGCCGAAGGCAAAGACACGGTGAGAGTATGAAGCAAGCACGAGCCTCCTGAGCGCAGGACTTTGCAGGGCAAATAGTTCCACGCTCATTTTATTGCACGAACCTACGTTTGGAGCATCCGGTAGATATGCAGGTTTCGTATAGTACCACGCAAATTCAACCTATCTTTTTCAAATATGACCCTACTGAGGAACTAAAATGAAAAACAGCCTTCACCGTCTGTTGGAGATGGTTTAGAATAAAGCCTTCACATAATGTGAACTGACGAAACGATTTAATTAAATTACTGCATATGGATCGAAGTACTTTGACATACAGAGAGCTGTGTCGAGGCACCTGGGTTACACGTCACCTGTCTGTATGCTAGCTAGATGTGAGTACCCAGTCTCTCGTCTCCTTAGACTGCTCTGATCAACTGGCGTCCCATTATTTCAAGTCCAAGTACTGTTGACCTCTCCGATCATACACGAATCGCTAAAGCGAGTGCAGACCAACGTGTAGGATGATTCACTGGCAGACTATCGGCAGACAATTTTTCAGCCAAATAGCTTTAAAATTAAAATCTGGCTGCTTCCGCTGAGAGCTGCCTCTTCTAGAACAGTCACAATAAGATATCGAAATTATGACCTGAAGAACCGTACAATATAACAGCTGGCAGTATCTGATAATACCCCATGCCCAATATCTGAAACCGCTTTAGGAAACGGGGCAAAAATTAGCAGTAGCCACTAG